CAGCGTCGGGAAGCCCTTGACGTTGTAGATCGAGCACTGGTAGTAGTCCATGCAGCTCAAGGCGCCGACGTTGACGATACCGAGCGGCTTGTAGTACGCGGCAATCTCTTCAAAGATGGGCACAAACTGACGGCAGTGCGGGCAGCTACACGTAGACGGTCTGCGTGGTGGGCGAAGGAGGGCGAACGTACTAGGGATGGTAAAAGTCCATGAGCCACGGCTTGCCGTTGCCGCCGTTCTTGACGAGCGTGTCAAAGTTGTCATCGGTGAGGAACGTGATGTTCGGGTGCGACTCGTTGAAAAGCGGCTTGTCGTTCTCCTTGCCGGCGTCCATGGCAGTGAGGCCCATGCCGGCGACGGCGCCGACCATGGCGGCCACGGCGAGGAGGCTGCGGAGCATCGACGGCAAAATCGGAAATGCTGCCCAATGAGCGCAGCGCAGCGACTCGTAACGCGTTGTGATTGGCCACAATTAGACACTATACAAACCGGTTAAACCCTTTACCCGCTCGAAAGGCGAGAGACCAGACGTTCTCAGATGATCGGCGCGGTGGTCAGGTGCTGGCGGCAACTTGCAGTCGCTCGCTTGGTTGCTAGCACTGGCTATCAGTCATCTCAAAGACGAGGGCGAGCCCGTGACGCTCTTGAAGAAGAAAAAACAGTTTATTTCGAATTCGAAGGCTCAACGCCCTTGCAGTTGGCGCCATAACAAGTGCACGGTCGTTGCTTGCACCTTGGAGCATTTAGATCCCAGGCAGACGCAATCGCCTTTGTTACGAATGAACTTAATGCATGTCACGTGGCACCATGTAGTGTAGTTGGTTGACTCGGCCCATTGACGACTACTCGACAAGCGGTAGCGCCCCATGAAGCCGGAGCTCCCTCTGGGTACCCTTCTGCATGGACGCCGTCGTGTGAATCGTATAGACGCGCCATGTCTTGACGTCAAAGACGTAGATCACGTCGTCTTTTCGCCACGTGAGGAGGCCGGTCAAGGCGGCCGAGGCGACGTCGACGTGGTACACGCAGTCGTGCACCCACCCGGTCTTTTCAAAGAGGTACTTGGCGCCACAAGAGAGCAGATACGACGGCTTCTCGGTCGGCGGCGGCAACGTATAGCGCAGGCGGTCGTGGAGGTACATTGAGACGGAGCTGCCGAGCGCGATGGCAACGAGCAAGAGCAGACGAGAGAGGCTCCCGATGACCACGTGCCCGCTCGAGCACACGGCTTGGTAGTCGGTCACGTCCACGGCGCAGCGAAGCTCCAAGTCCACGCTGTGCGTGACGGGTGCGATAAGGCTAAGCATGGCGGCGATCGCCCAGGCGAGCAGCGCGCTCTTAAAGGTGTACGAAGCCGTGTACTGCTGCGTGATGACCATGCAGATGTCGTCGGCAATGTAGACAAGCCAGCCGAGCTCGCCGGCTGCGAGCACTTTCGTGCAGATAGCGAGGAAGGGCGAAACGTCTTGACGGGCCGGATCGAGGGTCGTGGCCTTGCCGGCGAGCTGCAGCTGTAGCGTCGCAGTGCTGAGAATGCAAAGTGCGGTCACACTGCGCAGGAACAGCATCGGGCGGCCGATCCAGACCATGCCGCCGACGCGGTTGACCTCAAAGAGGTTGAAGCCCTCGCTCGTGAACCGGTTTTGCACCGTGTACGACATCGCAACGAGCGAGAGCACGAGGAGGAGCAGCGAGATGTACTGGCAAAAGACGCGGAGGTACGTAGCCACGTTGATGGGCACCTCGGCCGCACTTGCCGCAAACGTTGTCGACGTATACGCTGTCGACATGACGGTGAGCGACGCGTTGTCGGCTTCAAAGGCGACGACCTCGCGGAAGCCGAGGACCCAGTCGTAGAGATTCGTCCAACCGGTCAGCTGCATGGGCACATCCGCATCGTCCAAGATTCGCTGGTGGAAAAGCGAGATCTCACTCGTGCTGGCATCTTGGAGGTACGTGGCAAGGTCCACCGAGAGCGCGTTCACATCGCCTTGCACGCGCTGCGCCTGCGCCCGCAGTGCCTGCAGATACGCGGGTGCAAAGTACGTATGAAGGAACGCGGAGATGCTCGTGAGCATGGCCCGGCAGTCGGACGGCGACACCGCTTCCACTTTGCACGTGGACGGAATGTGCAATGTCGGGGCCAAAGCAATGCCCGAGGCCAGCAAGGCAAAGAGGATCTGGTCCTTCATGACATACACCCACTCGCCAAAGACGACGTTGCAGCCAACCGCGACGCCAAAGTACGACGGGAGACCGGACGAGAGATTGAACGAGGAGAGCGGGGCATGGCAGAGGAGGTTGCTACCCGCCGAGAACTGCGAGCTTGCGTCGAGAGAACTCGGCACGGCCACGAGACCCTGCATGGTCACGAGCTCGAGGTACGCGGTCTGCGCCGTGTAGCTACCATGGATGTCCGTCGTGTTGGCCAGGACACTCCGCAGCGCTTCGTGGACATCGCGCACGAGGGTGGCAAGCGACGCCGGGCACGGTACATGGCGCAGGTCCACGGACCCAAACGCACCGAGATGCGACTGAAACACGTGGTAGGCAGGATCCAAGGGTGCGCTCATCGAGCCGTTGCGGTAGTACCCGTCGAGCATCGACGTGTTGGCAAAGGCAAAGCGGGCGCTCGATCGCAGCAGCGACTTCCCAGTGACACCGGAGTCATTGGTGGCGAGAGCCCAGAAATCGCTCGCCAAATTCCAGTACATCTTGTACGACGTCTGCGTCTCCAGATGGAGCGAGCCGTTCGACGCTTGCAGCGTGAACGGGAAGGCGCGTCCGAGCGCCGTGACGACGTTGAAGGTGTTGAGAAGCCCCACCGACTTGTAGTTTTGCCAGGCGGCTGTGTAGGCTACAAGCCCGGTGCTAGTCCAGTAGGCGGCCTCGCTCTCCTCCGAGTTGGCGTTGGCTTGCGTCGCTTCCAGCCACAGGCGGCCACCGAGGTCTTGGCGCAAGTCGGCGGCGATTCCCGTTGCGAACACGTCGCCCCAGCACGTCTCAAAGCCATCCCAGTCGGTGTTGCGCAGTGGCGCCTCCAAGTAGACGGCCGCATTCGTAGCGTACTTGG